TCTCTCTCTCTCTCTCTCTCTCTCTCTCTCTCTCTCTCTCTCTCTCTCTCTCTCTCTCTTTTCACTTTCTCCCTCCCCCCCTCCCTCCCTCTCTCTCTCTCTCTCTGTCTATTTCTCTCACTCTATCATTCGGAGTTGCTACATGTCTCGCAACTCACCTGACTACACCTGTGCGCCGTTCTCCGGAAGCGGCGTCCACAGTCCGCGGGCGCGAAAAACGATCCGTGACACTCGCGGACTGTCAAACCGTATACACGCTAACGGTGCGTACCGCGCGTGTAAAAAGGAACGAGGGAAGAGGGAGGGTATAAGACGGAAGGAAGGCGGTGATAAGGGCCGACTATGAGAGAACGGAAAGGAGCGAGAAGGCGATGCGCGGAAGAGGGAAATGGAGCAGGGGGAATGTAAGACAGAGCGGCAAAAAGAGGGGCAAGATTAAATCGCTGGCGACACGCGTGCGATTGATTAGCGTGGAATAATTAGCGGGAGAATATCAGCGTTAGGGCACCGCGAGTGAGCTCTACTATCGATAAGACAGCCGACACGCTTGTCACGGGGGGCGCGACCAGAGCTCGAGGAGAGCACGCGCGGCTCTCTATCGCGGCGGCATTTTCACTGAGGAAACGATGGCAAGGAAACGAGAGAGCTCTTCGTGGCGAGACCCCCCCAACCGGAGCCCCGTTTTCGTAAATGCTCGGATACCCTGCGCGTATCGGGAGCGACCGGAGCGGGATACGCATGCGCTTCCATTTACGACGGGCGCACGCGAACGTGCGCGGCCGCTTCTTATCAGCGACACAGCGTTACGTCGGCGCAGTGCCGCGGGACGTTTTCTCCCTACCACCCTCTTGGTGGCTATTGTGCGTGGGAGGGAAAAGGAGACGGGGTTTCGAGGGCACTACGATGAAAGGAGAACGCAAACGAAGCAGGAGCGAAGTGGGTTTCTGGAATACCCTGAGTTTATTAAATGTTAATCATTATAGAATTTTTTTTGGGTTAAATGTGCGGACTCTCCTTTATTGAGATTGAAAGTTAATTTTGTCCGAAAGAATAGTAAAAAGAGAAGAAGAGAGAGGATTTCTAAATAATACGATATAATTTTATTTGAAACAATTCTAAATTCAAATATTAAGGATTTCTTCAATTTCTCTCCTATACTTTTTTTTAACTTCAAGACCTACACGAAAAAAAGTTAATGTATAAAAATACAACACGTAAAAACAAAATTAATTATCAATAAAATAGAAACATTTAAACATCTGAAAGAAACGATCTCGTTTCTTGCCTTAGAAATACTTTTAAAAATGTCTCTTTTAAGAAAATGTGTGTGTTAAAAAAGAAATTATACATACAATTATTATCTAATGACTATAATAATATGTTTATTATCTTATTTTCATTATTATTTCTCCCTTTCTTCCTCGTTTTGAGGAGAGAGGTACTATTATTACAGTCTTTTGTTATCACTTTATCTCAAGAAACAAAGCTAACGGCAGGTTATTATTTGCTTCCCTTATCTTTACGTACTAAGTTGTAGAAGAAAACGATGCGGTTTTGATGCATTATAATCTTAAGAAAAAGTTATATCTATCCCATTATGTAATTGTACGTAAAATAATTTATTAATCTTTATTAATTTTGTATATTATAGCTTACAATATAGTATGGCATAAATTACTAAATAAATTATTTATTTTAATTTATTGCTTCAAAATCATAATGGGTACATAGAATATTCATATTCTCTAAATTGGATCGGGCACGGGAATTTTCGGCATACGGCCTTCCATCATATCATTCAGCAGTATACCGATCTCCTGGCAGAAAATAATCAATTCAGTTTACTTACATATAATGCCTAAAATTAACAAATCTTTTACGCAAGCTAACATTTATTAAGTATTAAGCAAAAAGATAATGAACAAGCAAATATATACCTCTTCTCGCTGCATTCTCAATCTATCGATAATAGGCTCGTTAAAGTTAGGGTCATTACTGGGATCCTCCAAAGTACTTTCGTCACTCCTCGACACTTGCGGTATACGTGAGACGTAGATCTGTTTGATAGTATCTAAAATTGCCGACGGTCTCGTTTGAGGGAATTGCAAATCGATTCGTCCGAAAGAATCCATGCCAGCCGGCATCATTAACGGTTTTTCATAATCCGTACACTTATCCTCCCTTGCGTTTCATTTCATATAAAGACACGATGTCGAGATATATGATATATCACACATGTAATTTATAAAATATAAATAAGTTCTCGGTGAATATTAAAACTTAATAAATCATGTTTACTATCAGAACTTACATAAATGGAGAACCAAATCCATAATGAGATAATAAATCTTTCAGTCGTCGTACGAGAAATTTATCTTTAGAGGAATAGTAATAAAGGCTTGCACCTAGATTATGAGCTATAGCTCTCAATATCTTGCCAATAAATTCTTTCTTACTCGAATCAAATTCCTATTACAGAATTAATCACAGAAAAAATTAATTTACTCTAAAATGTTACAATATTACAAAGTTCTAAAATTTATGCTAATTGTCTTTTAAAATATTCAAAGTTAAGGGAAATATATTAATTACAAATACACTTTTTGAGTTTAATGTATTAAAACTTTTTAATTTTCTCTCTTATATTATTACCAACTTCATAGCAATAAATTAAAATTACTGTAACAATTTTTTTATTTTGTTTATCTTTGTACAGTGCAGAACAAATATATGTGTCTTTTTTACTCTTTTCATAATATTTACACATACACGTTATATATTTATCAAATACCTTAAACTCATCATATCGTCCACCTATAATACACATTTTCATTAAAAATGGATCAACTCCACGTTCCAATTCTTTTTTTCTATCTGCTTCCCCCTTATCCCGTAATTCTTGAATCATGTTAGTGTCGTAACTCATTTTCAAACCATTTCGTATTACGGAAAGGGCCTCCTCGAAGGAAGACCATAATTCTTCTGGTCGCGATAAATCTAACATTATTAATAACACGGTGTGATGAGGGGAATGTGTCAATGTAGATCCTGTCATCGCAACAGATACCAAAGAAGAAGCTAAGTAACCCACTTCCCACACGTGCACAATATTTTTCACCTACAGCAATATACTATTTAGAAGTTTAATTTCTAAAGTAGTAAAAAATTTGATTTCGTTAATAAATATACTAACATTTTTTATAATAAAAATATTATAATTAATTTCTGTTATAAGCATATAAAATTATATATATATTTTCTAAAATTTTAAATTAATATATTTATAATTCTTTAGTGTAAAGAAATTAAAATTTATCATCCACGAATATATTTTTGTAGAAAGATGAATTCGTACAGTTGTCACTTACTAAACTTTTCACAGTTTTGCGACCAAACGAATAATCCATTGCTATAGTTGGTTTTGGTCTTTCGTCTTTTTCAAGAAATCGATACACCATTGTTGTTTTACCCTACAAGTGCAAGTGGAAATGCAAAGTACATCTTGCGCTAATGTAGTATGCTCCTAATTTCATCACTTACAACTCCCTTGCTGCCAAGGATAATAATGGATCGTTCGTGAGTTTCATTTGGATCAGTCTTGCGTCTATTTTCTTCTTCTACAGCAAGCCGTAATGCAGTTTCTCGCATAGACTCCTCACTAGAAAGTTCATTCTATTGTAATTAGTTTTATAATGTTAAGAACAAGTCTGATAAAAAGTTAATGGAAAATGATTAAAATCGATATTTCTATCAATTTGTATTGTTTTATATAAGTTTATATCATTTTCTATCGTCGAGTTTGCAACGTCACGATTGATCGGCTATGAATTTTATCGTATTTTATCGAATTCTATAAGATGTGTACAAGATTCCTATAAGACTTGATTCAAATTAGTGAATTTACGAACCAGATTCCGTATTCAAAATGATAGGATTTTTCTATCATTCTCTATCAACTTTTTTTTATCAGGGATATGATGTTAGCTACCATCTACCATAAATAAATATTATAAATAAAAAAGACAAATAATTACAGATTTATATTCGTATTAAATAGTTATAGATAGATTTCTTTAAATCGTTTATTTAATTATTCTTATACTTATTGATTATTCTTTCAAAATTAGGAAATAATGAAAAGTATTTTTTTTTAAATATTACTCATTAATATATAGCTTAAGATTATAATTATTTAATAATATATTATATCAATACATTTCTGTTTACAAAGCTGTAACAAATTTAATATATATGTATAATAAATTAATCACCAGTTTTCTGCAGTCATTATTTTTAAAACACAATAAAGAATGATACTAATAACTGTAGTTCTATTCGCACAATGCCATATTTCTTCAGGTTATGGATATGTTTTACTTTGTATTACCATGGAAACGAAGGTAAACGCTCAGCCGCTCACTTGCATCATTCCTGTATGACATGTGAATTATTATAAAAAAACAAAATAATAATTGTATATATACACAATAAAAGCATATTCGCATATAATGTAGAGCACATCTGTTTCGATATGTAACTATTTAGAGATGTATGATAAATAATTCTTCTTACTACGCAATCCTAGATTACAAAATTTGATAAACATTTTTAGGAACAGTTTATTTAAGTAAATAATATTATATAACTGTTTCCAGTTATGACAATTGATTTTTAATTGTTTATATTAATGTTCAGAATACATCACGATAGTACAAGATATAATAATTTACACCTACGTTAATCGCTCGTTTGCGTAACGTTTCAACTATATATGCGCGATGATCTAACGAAAGATCTCATCAGTCTTGATAAAGAAATCTACAAGGATATCTTTTGTAATAATCAATTTGAACACTTTTATTTAGCTTCTTCAATTTCTTTATGATATAAAAATGTTTTCAGAGCTTTACAACATAATGTCTCCGCTGGATCATGACGCGCATAACACGTATATAATTCGCAAATTTATTTATAAATTAAATTATTTTTTAATATATTTTCATTGCATACATTATGTACAACTTGGACTAGATCAAATCAGGAATGGTATATATCTTACAATTCGTGATAAATTTCAACAATTTATAAATTATTACATACGAATGAATAGTTTCTAAAGTAGCTAAAACATTTTCCACAATTAGAAAAACACATTGTCTTTCATACTTAATTATTATAACAAATTAACAATTGCACAAGTCTCATTAATATATGTATATAAATTAAAAATATTAATATCATTATGCATTCTTTTTCTGCAGAACTGTATATGAACAGCGCGCACATACATTTTCATTATAATTTTTCGTAAACGTGGATCATATATTGTTATTTTTTTGTTCAATGAATTATAATCAACCAGCAATTAATTTATATAATAATAAATACATAATAATTAAAACATTTATCATTTCTTAGTTTAATCTGTATATATGGATTCGATTAAATCTGATTACTGATATGAGGCTTTCATGATAAAAAAATCCCTTTTAAAGAAATCTGTAACTTTAAAACGCAGTAAATATGTTAACATACAAAATCTTACAAGTTGCTACGTTTGGTCCTGTTACAGCACCGTTAAATACCGAAAGATCTGCAAAATGTAACGTTAAATTTACAAATAAATAGATGCTGTTCCTTTCTGTAATTTTTGTCCATACTTGTTCTGGAAAATAATATTCTCAAAATTTCTATGACTATTCTTTAATAATATATAGATATATGTATACTCTATACTAATTTTGTTTGAACACTATGGTCAGTAAAAGTACTTGAAGGAGAAAGATGAACATATTATGACAGATTAGTTAATGTATTCACAAAACTATAGTTTTAAACATGAACGATAATATCAAACAATATTTTAACAAATTAATATTGTTTGACTCAATACAAAATCAGCTATAATTAGCGTTTGTCAAATGTTTTCTTCGATACATTTTATAAAAACCTCTTATTTCGTTCACATCAAACTAGCAAAGCTATGTAATAATCTGTCAGTATGTATATTAATTTTTTGTCATATTAAATTATCAATAGTTATTTAAAGTACCCATAATGTTGAAAATTCAACGCAAATATTTTTTTCATAAAATTCATTAGATATTCGATGAGCATTGCTACTATATGTTTCATATTTTAGGTATAATGAGTAATACAAAGGAAGACAAATGCACTGATTTTTTAGTCATCTTTTTCTATAATATTTCATTGCTTCTATAATGCAGTATATTACGCGCTCTGCATGTTATCTAGTCCATATGTCACTCATCCAATTGTCATTTAACTCCTCGTTTGGTAGAACTTTTAATTTTCTTAAGGCTTCAAGATAAAATGTAAGTTCTGATGTAACCACACCATGTTGTGGGCCACCATTGTTCACTATATTCATTTTAACTAGTTGCTCTCTAAGTTTCTCCTTGAATAATGAATTTACCGTACGGTAAAGAGATTGTACTTCGACAGTAGGCAAAATACCAGAAACAGCTTCATGAAGTTTCATTAGATAACTGCAAATAAAAATGAAATTTTGAAAGACAAGAATATTAGACGTCATAATCGTTATAAATATTAGATATAACATTATCCAAATACTTACCTAGAAATATTTCTAAAAGATTTAGATGGCACTGGAGGTCTGGCTGTCCATTTAGATATTTGTCCGCCTAATAAATTATCTACAATAATGAGGATTTTCCCTTCAATTTCACGAACATGTGCGCGAATGTCTCTTTCAACACTATCTAATAAAGCTACTCCTCCACTGATACCAGACGTGCCAATCAGTCCTCGACTTGGATTTTGTTCTATGAGTGCTAAATGTATTAAAGGCGTATATAAAATATTTTTAAATAAATCTTTTCATATTTAACGTTTCAATTGTTGCTAAATATATATTTTTATATTATATTTAACATAATAATTCAACATATTAAATTACCTTGAAAATGTGCTTTCACAAAAGACATAAACCACAATACAAGTTTAAGACTTCGCGCCGCCAATACGAGAATCGTGCTTGTAATGGTTTTCAAACCCGCAACTTCCATTGCACCCGCACCCAAAACTAATTGACAACATCTTGAATTATAATGTCTTAACAATTCGGCTAATTGTCTTCCTATAGTTCCAGACAAGGCAACTAATTCACTACCAGTCCTAAAAACAAACTATGTTATATTATAGAAGATTTTACGAATAATATTTTGTAATTTATCTTTACCTGCAATATTCGTGTATCATCTGTATAAGCATCAGAGCAGTTCCGACAACAGCAAATTTTTCATCACCAACCATGATGAAATTCCCCACACTTTCATTCTTGATGCTATCCTCACACGTGGATATTTTAAGTGGAAAATGTTTTTTCTCATATACATACGTTACTAACGACTGAAATTCTAATAGTACATCAGCTTGTTTCCATCTTTCAGATTCCAATAATAGCGTCAGCTTAGTTTTACGTTCATTATGAAAACGATGTACAAATTTACTTGCTTGCGCCTATAAAAATATGAATTATACATTGACAGAACAATTACTCTATTTGATAAGTAAATTTCTAATGACATGATTTACACAAATAATAATTACTTTAAATGCCGATCGTAATGCAGTACACTGTTTACCGCAAAGTTTCTCACAAGTGTATGTGAATTCTTCAACCATATTGGCTAATTGGCAAACTTGAGCGGCTGTTGCTCTCTCACTCAACCAAGAGTTCTTATCATTCCAAGTATGATATTCTTTATCCTCTACCTTATTCTGTGAAACATCAGCAATTATCTTGTCCTTATCGTTGTGGAATTTATCCTTTTCACTTGTCCCAGCTGAAAGTAGATTTCCCATTCGCTCATGGCAGTAATCACACACAGAGGTAATCATGTCACAGAGTTTTGTAATCACTCGCGAATGCTCTTCTCGAGTCAGTAGACGATCAAGTATTGATTCATCAAACGACCCGTCACATAAACGTCCTGCTGATAAGTCTGCGGTATCTTTCATTACATCATGAACTGCCTAATAATAGAATATTTAATTATTATATATAATATACATGTTTTTATATAATACACATGTTTCATTATTAAATATTTCACAATGACACACAATTTAAAAATAAATAGTAACTTATAATCTCCAAAGTAATTGTTCTTAAGAGGTAAAAAAGTTTTATTTGTAGTCACATAATTGTAAAAATCTTAATATCAATTTTAGTGCTCAATTACACAAAGACATTTAATATTAAAAATTAAAAATTTGCAATATATATATAAGCATAAAGCAGAAGAAAATAAAGAAAAATATAAATATATATATATATATATATATATTTATATTTTAC